AAGCCGCCCACAGGCCCATTCGATACAACTGACAATTATACCGTTGAATGCGGTATTATAGGCTTGATCTCTCCATCTCCCACCCCTTCCTCCGTATTCCTTGACCGGGGAAACGCCTTGCACGAGGCTACAGATATGACGGTTTCAGTGTACTTAGGATGCGGTTCCTCCCCTAGGGCCAGTAGTGTCCGACACGTCAAGAGGATGCCATCTATTGATCGACCAAATAACCGTGTTACAAGAGCAACGCCACGTCCTTTTGATGACAATCTCCTGACTTGAGTCCGACGCCTTTCGACATCAAGACGTGCCAGAAACACATCAATTAAATTGAATGCAATGAAATACAAGTAGAATGTTCCCAGCCTAAGAGATGGCAGTATGAATGTTGACGCTGTAATAAAACGATAAAACAGACCGAAATGGAAGTAGGTAACATCAGTGAGATAGCAGTTAATATGGAAGTCGCCTATCAACTAGACGACATCATTTGAGATAAGCTTAAATAACCACATCCCTAGAGATCATATTTGCAATAATTTAGTAGGGGAAAGTGGGGAGCATTAGCACCTTTGAGCTAGCTCAGGTAACTGGTGATTCAGTAAATTCCCAACGCTATTTTAGGTTTCATTGTAAGGAGGAAGATTATGATCGCTGCCGTCCTGGTCCAACCTCTGCTTATGCTCGGACTCTTGATCGCCCTAATTATTTGGATTCGTAGTAGACCCGTTCAAAGACGGCAAGATGAGGTGAGTTTCCAGGAAAGGAGGCTGAAACTGCTCGACTGTTGGCCGCTTAAGTGGTGCAGGCCCTTGCAAATCGCATCAAATACATACTGTTTTCTAGTCATTGTCAAGGCGTACCGTTCTTGGACAGGTAATGCTCTTTGGTGAGGGGCGACCGCACGAAGCGCCAAGTAATCCAAGAATCACATCCGAACGGATGTCTCGCTGTGGGATCTTGATTCAGTACTACAGTTCACTAATAAACCCACCATAGAGTTTAGTAAGTTCGCCTCTAGCATGAAGTTATGTTTACCAAAAAGAATCAGCCATGAGAAAAACTCGACCTCACCTCCAACTTACTACTAACGGTCGAGTTTATTACAACCCTTGCCTTGAGTAATGCAACCAACCTACAAGTCGCAGGCTGAGCGTCGAACACTTTGACTTTCCAAAGAGCATCCATATGTTCAAAGCAGTGGTAAGCGTCTCAATCTGATGAGAAAACAATTTTCGTATCCTTGACGCAATAAATCATTTAAACAACCCTCAAACCGCATTAAACTAAAAAGTGGACGCAACCGACTTGTCACTTCACATCTACCACCTGAAGGTGAATTTGAAGGTTTCAAGAACCTATCACAGACCGCTTTTCTCGATTTCAGTGGACAAATCAAGCACTAGCAGACGTCCCGGAGGGCAACGAAATAACACCACCCCGTCAAACGTGTTCCCCATAATGGGCATAATTCCTTGTGTCATTAAAGAAAGAAAAGACACCATCAATCATATAAGCTAAAGCTGGCAGTATTGAGTCAGCAGCAAATACCTACCCCATTTGACGGTGTTCTGAGTAACCAAGCTCTATTTCGGCAATAAACTATACGGAATAAACAACATCGATTTACACCAGATACTTGTTTTCGGTTAATACACTTACCGAAAGAATTAATTTTGGGCAGTTAAATGGAGAGAGCAAATCTGTAGATGCCCAACATTAGAAAAAGCCCATCCCGGGGAATGACGAGGCTACTGTGACTAGCCCTGTCCTCGGAGGATCGTGGAGTGCAAATGACCCAAATTGTGAGAAGATCCCGACTTCTGAAATCGGCAAAATCTACAGATCGCGACAGAACTTATCAAAATTTAATGTAACTTCAGTTCATTTAACTTCAACACGAATAATCTCTCGACCGCAAGAGTTGGCTGTAGCAACTAACTCACAGCTCTCAGCCAGTCAAACACAGTTCAGCTACGCGGGATAAAGCGCAATTTCATTTCAGATCGCTATTAGACCCCTATAGGTTTTGGCAATCTGTCATTTGGTCTCATTTAATAAAAATCTACCGTACAATTAAGCTCGAATCCTGAGAAAAGGACGACACCAGAGGTACGGTTCCTGCGATGTAGTTACGACAAACTCCAGTGAAATCTTAATACCACAAAAAACAATTCATCTGAACACTTGGTCCCCAATCAAGTAAAAAAAGCAGTGAACACAAAATCAGGCAATCCCCCCCGCCCTATAGGCGGAGGTAAGGAGACACTAAGGACGCAATGATCGACAGAAACCAGTGCAAATAAATCGAGCTTGAGCTTGCACCGGAGCGCCAGAAATGGTAAAAATTTGTCACAATACTGAGTTCACCTCGTACATGCAATGCTGGCCATGATGGTCACCATAGCATGACTCACGTCTATTGTGCTAAACCTCGATATGGGTGACCCCAGACCCAGGCACGCAGCAGCAATATTTGCTCACCCCTACCGCACTTAATCTAACACCAGCCCGACAGACAAGCTACGCCAAATCCAAAACTAGGACGCAAGGTACCTGATTGTTTGGAAAACCCGAAAGGAGATAAACACACTAAACCACGCCTCTGAATAGAGCCAAAGGTAAATACCTCTCCCCTCAGCGATGGTAAATGCACACCGACGTGTCAGAGACCACTAGAATAGACTTGCATTCTTTGATTAAAGCGAGTGAAGATTACGTTGGGTTAATGTACCTGCGGGGACAGTCTAGCGAGCCCTCTTTTATGCTTGACGGTTTACAGCATTATACTTCATCATAGGCATGACCATAGGCATCATGAATTAGTAAGGAGTGATAAACGCGTTGAGGTTTATGCTTTTCGAAGGTGACAGATGCACAGCCCTACTCGCGGCAGCAAGAGAAGGTTTAGTGTCCGCTTCATCACAAAACACTCAGAGGTTCCATGAAAAGGAACTTTATGGTGTTGCACTCGTACAGATGTGGGAAGTTTAAGCGAATTGTAGAAACCGCTTCCACTACAACCATCACCGCCACTACCATTAGGTTCCAGACGAAGCTAACATGGAGCCGTCGGAAAAAAAGCATCTTCTTTTGAGGTACCTAACTCGGAAATGTCGCAGTCGACCCAAGCCGAACATCAACATCAGTATGATTTTAGATGCACGCTGCACTCCTAACCCGTCGAAAGTAAGTCGACCCAAAAGAAAGCTATCTGACGACCCGTAATTGCTGGAATAATTATATCACTCGATAACCGACAAGACTAAAGAAAATGTGTTAATAACTTATTTTAGAAAGTACTCGCGTTTCAACACTGATAGAAGCATGTCATTAGGTGGAAAACTGGCCCTCAACTCGCTCACTACAAGCACCATGAATATTTGATGTCCCAATTTTCTTACCTGATCCCGATGCCACAGAAGTGTGATGCGTCCCCTGACAACTTCGTGAAAACCGGTTACACCAAATTGTGCCGTTAACAAACTGGTTGGGTTTAAAAAGTAACAAGACAAATGTAGAGGGCCGTGGCGGTCCATTATCCTCTGAGATAGATCCCGGTGGCAGACGTACTAATAGAGTGAAAACAACTCGTACATGAGGGCTTGGAATTCTAAATCGAAAATAGAACACACAGATGTTATCTCCGACAGGGACATTGCAGAATAGCACGAAAAACCCTTTCTCATCTAAAAAAAGAGGAGAAGTTTCAGCCCACTATTACCGGAAAAGGAGAGTGAAAACAAAATTAGGAAGGCACACAAGAAGAAAGACATTTGATAAAATGACTGTATTTCTTTGCTCATTCAATGCCCATTAGCGCTTTTCGTTGTCTTTAGCCTCTGAGATCATGACTAGATGGGACACAGGGTTAAACAGCCTAAGGGGAGGCTAGAGGAAAATTTGCTGAAATCAACGCAATCAAAATCATGCTTCTCCAATAGCAACGGTAATAAAACAGTGAAAATTATAGTAATGATAATAATTCCAATCAGCACAGTGCAGGTTAGACAGACACCAAAAGAGGATTTTCTGTGTAGCATTGATTTATTTGCCAAACAGGCGAAGCACAATGAGGAGGGGAGGGGATTGCAACCTAAGCTACATAAATGTATGGTGAGAACAAGAATACAAATAAAAAAATTAGATGAAAAAGTAGGACTTTCAACAAGAATTCTATTTATTTAAAGCCTGTGGTTACAAAATCTTGCAGTAAAAAAATCTAAATTCACGACCGAGAGAGGTGACAATGAGCCCAATCTGAAGGGTGGTGACCCCAACCTGAGAAGAGATAAAGCAAACAATGAGGATCAGCATCCCGAATTGCTGCTCTCATTAATTCAAATTTTTATCATTAGCGTACATTCCAAAGAACAATATGCTACCATAGAATAGGTGGTCTACAATTTCACTGCTACTCCATTATTTCGAAACCCACCTTCGTTAAATGACGAAAAAATGAACATTCCCTCAACGACCAAAATAACTGCATCCCATATTACCAAAACTTTGCTGAATTGTATTTTGCAATAGGAGACATGCAGCGCTGGCTGAACGTAGCAAAAGTAAGTCGTCAAATACATATACCCCCGTACGTGCACACACCCAAGTTATTCTTCCGACACCGATGGGAGATTTCGATAAACCAAAAACCTCACTTTTGCAAGATGGACTGATAAGAGGATTGTGGGGAGCATAGTGAAGGATCTAGTTGAAGCAAATATTTAAACAGCGACTTCCCTAGAACCATCAACTGAGTGCAAGACGAACTGAGGGCTCGGCTACTTAGCCCGTTAATAAATAACTTTAATAATCCTAATGGCCACAGACATTACAGATAGTCCTAGCGTAGCAGTAAACCACCGGAACTGCAACATACTAGGAAAACTCCAAAGTGAACCATAAGCAACTCAGAGACACCAAGATAGACAAACTCATAAAAGTCATTAAAGTTAACTTCCATTCCCGCTTGCAACTAGGTTTGTGTACTTGCCAGATTCCTAGGGCCTCCACATTGGAGGACGTAGGATAGGGCCGAATACGTTTGCGGGCATCACAAATGCTGCAGGATTGAACCCTCCAGTTGCTGCCGCAAAGGCAGCAGCGGCTGCGGTGGACGAGGAATGAGGGGCCAGTGTCTGAGCAGGTATGACTGCAGGAGGCTGCCACAACGAGGACGTCGCTAGCCACGCACCAGGGGCGAGACCAGTACTGAGGATGCCGGAGGTGGCATTTGTCGACACTTGCGGCACTGTTGGTTGCACTGGTATGGTCGGTGGTGGCGGTTGCCGCGACGGTGGGGGCGGAGCGGGGGGCTCGTTCATACCGAGCATATCCGCAAACGTGGCCAACTTACTACTCCTTCCTTGTGTTGTAGCGGTATTGGTGGCAGCAGACCTCGTGATGCTTTGTCGTTGACGATGACTAATAAGTGGTGATTTTGCAGCGGATACACGCTCTTGTGTTTTAGTTTCCTCCTCCTCCTGGCGACTAAAGTAGCTATATCCATCAAAAATTTCAGTAGGACAAGGAGACGGGGTAGTTGGTGGTTGAGTTATGGGAGCCGAGGACCCAGATACTTCCTTCTCCTCTCGTTGTTGATTCTCAGCAGAGACACCAAGATTGCCCTTTAACAGAGCCTGGAGCGCGTCAAGCGGCGAAGAGAGGAGACTTTTCACCCCTAAATGAAATTCAGAAGACGGTGGGCAATCACCAGCGTTTCCAATCCCTTTGACTAGCACATGACTCACCATCCAACTGATCAAGTTTTAAGCGTTTAGGAGGGTCCCCAAGCTCGCTAACTTTAGGATTATCCTGATCAGGAACGGAAGCAGGATGAGAAGGTTGTGGAAGAAGAGGGCGAGGTTGATTCGACATGATAACAGGAATGGTCTGCCCATGGCGTGACCCTGGAAGTGGTTGAAGAGGAGAAGGCTCAAAATCTCCGAGAAGGGTTTTGACAGCACGCTTCACGGACTCAGGATTTCTGGAATTATTTTGCTCCATTGATGGTCCGCTTATCTTCCCGGTCTCTCCATTCTCCACTTTGGCCACCTTCGAAGTAGACAATAGCACTGCCGGTGGGTCGGGAAGAAGCGGAGCGGACGATCTGCCCAGAAATAAATGTAGTAAATGAAAACGAAGCCGCCTTAAAAATCACACCTGATCCCTTCAAAGCAATAGAGAAAGATGATACGCTAATGACAATAGCGATAGCAAACACTGCGCGCTTATCAAAGACGAGTATACCGGGACCAAAAGTAGTTGCAACGTGATTCAAGAAAATAAGGAAAAAATAGTGGAGAATAAATGGAAGTACTCGAGTACTTAGCTGAAATGAAGGGTCGATCACAGATGACCTGGTCAAGCAAGTCTCACTAAAACAGAATATCAATTGCGAAGATCTAAAAAAACAAACTACCAAAACATCCACGTAAATGGGCACAAAAAGCAAACTACTAAAATTTGACTCACGTGGCGATTTTGGAACGAGGTTTGAAACTAAATTGAAGCGGATTCGCCTTCTGAGCAGCGGTCTCTAGCTGTTGGAGAGCCCACTGCACCTCCTCCTCAAAGCTCCGTACTAACTGGGAGTCTGTCAAAACCACCTCCACTGGAGTTCCATCCTGTTGTTCTGACGTCTCAGAGGTCGAGAGGCTTCGTGAACCCAACAAACCCGTTTTCTTTAAACGTTCGCTAAATAACATAAAAGCGCTGTTAAGGTCCTGTGAAACTGAAGCTGCCTCAGAAGACGAAAATTACTGTTCAGAAAGCAAAAAAGCTCATTTTCACACCCTCAAGACGGCACGACATTAAGCCTTAATCAAGCCCAGACTAGTAATTACCATATCGATGTCAGCATAATGCGAAATTCCCAGAGTAACCACAAATGGAAGATTGTTCATGATTAAATAACCTTAAATATCGGTGATTCTTAAGCGTTTGCTTTTACCAGTGTATCACTTTCGATACGTCCCTGCAAAGAACGACTGACATGAAATAAACTCGGTGTGAATTATTGTCAAGCCCATTCACAAAGTAGGTGCCATAGGTAGACAATAAAATCCGTCATTTGCATTTCTTTTGTTGAGTTCGTAAATTAGTGGTGGATAAAAGCTGCACGAAGTTTATTTTACCAAATAAGTCCCTTATGGTGATTCTACTAGCATTGTTACAGTTGATGCGGAAAAATAACCTGTTTGATCTTCTTCGCCATGGCCTTCATAACGCGGAGCCCATGATGCTAGGCCCCTCAGTCTTTCTGATAACGCCAAATTGGCATATCTCGACGTTTTCAAGGGGTGGGATGGGCTCCGAGGAAGGCCCAAGTTGCGAAATAGCATTTAAATAGTTACCCCGAACTATTATAATCCACAAAAAACTCACATAAAGTGGGAGTGAGTATATTCGTCAACAGTGAAGTCAGGCAAAAGTGGTCTTTCGCTGACGAAACCGGTTTCAAAGTCGGGAAGGTGAACAAAAATGGAACTTTGGCGATTGATGCCCGACTCCACAACACCCGTTGAAAAGAAGCTCGGCAGCTTTGAATTGTCGTAGTCACCATTGCCATCATCTTCGTCAGAGAAGTGTGAGGAGGCAGGCGAAATTATTCCTCCCTTTCTAGCTAATCCTTCCTGATCCTCAGGCGTGCAGGAAGACGAAGAAGTCGAACAATCAAGCATCTCCCCCTCTTCTATCTCGTCATCGCCAAGCCCATTATTATTGTTGTCTTCTGGTTCGCGCGGCTGGGTTGTTGACGCTGACACCACGTCAGTAATCTTGGTAGTGGACAAAGTTTCCAACGCCTTGACATTTTGTTCGGAGGCTAAAGGGAAGTCCCGCAATTCTTCTGGCTCCAGAGGCTCAATCCTTGTCTTAAACGTTGCTGTGAGCAGAAAAAGCGCTCTAAGGGTTACACTAAGGCTGTATGGTGTACAGTTGCTATGCCTTCAAATTATCGCAATTCTTTTGAATTTAGGAGAGTGATAACACATGAACAGCACAGAAGCCACGAGCTACGTCAATAAAGACTGCTAAAAATGTTAACAAGTTTACGACCAGATCTAATTGTTTCTGGCGCAAAATAACACAGATGATAACGAATCCGAAGAAGAAATATGAACGCCGGACTTAATTCGCATAAGCGTATTTTTAACAAAAATAAAACCTACAGTTCTCCTTTTCCACCATGATACTGAGCCGTTTACGCCCCTCATTAGACTCCACTTGCTGTGCATACGACGTGAGTCGCCGCTTCCTGATCGACTCCGGACTCCTGTCCAAGCTTACTAACTGGTGTAGTGGAGGATAATGATACTTCTGCAAATACGAAGAGAAATCAGTCAACAAACAGATGGGACAAGTGTTGAAATGAAGTTTCTTAAAATCCATTCACCATGGTTAACAACTACTAATAGCAAGCGTAAGATTAAAACTTACAAGATAGGCCATTCTGTGTCTAATGCTGCAAACATGCTTGATGACAGCAGAGGGTAAAAAAGCGCGCTTTTCACACAAATCGCAGATGTATATACACTCCAAGAGACCCCGGCGCTGAAACTCCGTTACATAGTTAAGACCAACCAGAGGCTGAATGCAAATATCCAATAAGTGCTGAATCCGTAGCTGACGCTTCTGAGAAGGGCGTAGGTCCGCCACAGGTTTATTACGGGGTGCTGCCAATTCAATATGAGGTGGATGAACCTGGGGAAAGAAAAACGCAACTAAAGTTCAAGGTGCAAATCTAAGGGAACTGTGAAAAAGTGACGAAGGACCAACCTGAGGTGCCCATTGTGGGGGAGGAATATCCAAGACAGCACTTGCGTTGTACGTGATGGTTTTTGTCAGAGCATTCTGTATGTGGCAAACGCCACGAAGATGAATGTCATAGGCTCTTTGAGTGGGAAAATACTTGTCACAATCCTCACACCACACCCTGGGATCTTGGGGCGGGGGGACAGAGGTGAGGCAGAATGGGTTTGCAATGGGAGGTGGTGGAGCCTGTTGTGGATTAGAGGTCGAGGCCGGAGGAGGTCGGGAGAGGTCTAAAAAGGTCCAAAACTGGCAAATACACAGCAAGGACTTAATGAAACAGATGAGTCCTTGAAGCGATGCATACCAAACACTGGTGCCTGTTCAGTAACATTAGATTTGGATGCAAGCCATTTCTGGTACATAACGTCCCAATCAATGCCCATCTGTTTACTGCATTCGGAGAAGAGTTGAAACCATTCAGGATGAGTTCGCGAAATCCAGCTGAGATAGTTGTGCCACGAGGCCCAATCCCAATCGCGAGCACCACTTCGGCGGAAGTAGCCTTCCATTATAGTTTTTGAGTGGCTCCACGGGTCATTATCCAACGGCCTACAATTCTGAACACAAGAGATAATCAAGTGAAAAGCCACAAGCGAATATCGAAACCGGTACGCTAAACTACCTGGACATTATTGGGGACTGTGATTTGAGGTCGATTATTCGTTGACGAATTCACATTCTCCAGATTATCTAGGAGAGTTTTAAAATATCCCAAAACGTCCGTATAGTACTTCCTGTATACACCTATTGCTGAGGTTGGATCGACCGCTAGCTGTTTGCTTTCAACTTTCAGTGTTGATGGAGGTGGCAACACTCCAGCTGTATTTACTGCGTTTGCGTGAATTTGCCGTCCTGTTGACATTACAGAAGTGTTGGCAAATGGCTGGGTTCCCTGTAGTTGTGTTGAAGCAAAGGAGGGGGTATGAGGAGAAAGAAAACCGACTTGGGGAACTGATGATGAAGGTACTACACATGGATTAGGAGCAACATCCAACGGTTTTAAGGGAGCAAACGAATGTATCGGCAGTGCGAAGGAGGACACCAAAGGCTGAGTGTAATGTTGCGACGACGAAGACCCATTATACGGTAAGAAGTTTGACAGTCCAGCAGAACTAGAATTATTAGCACAATCTGGCCTAAGATTCATCCCATCAAGCAGAACCAACTCAGGGTAAAATGTTCAAAACCTGTCGCGCCATCAAACAAAAATCATTAGATATTTTTGTGCTGAGAGCACTAAAAAGATTTTTGCTTGGTTTTATTTGTAACATTCAGTCAAAATAAAATGTTAGAACAGCGTCATTCTCAATGTGTTTAAATGCATTTTATATTGCAGCGATTATTTAGTTTTCAATTGATTGGTTTTAGCCGTCTTAAGAGTTATGTATCCCAGCAGGCCCCCTGTAATCACATCACTTTTCTTCATAATGCTTTTCTCACATTCGTGGAATTCTCAGCTACATTTGCAATTGTGCCTTTGTAGGTGCCCTCAGGGCCAGGTCAGTCCTACAAATTTACAGTTGTCGAGACCTGTGAACGCATCAAGGATGAATTTAACTTCGTTCAGCAGCAGTGTCATCAGTAATTCGTGCAATTCTATATCATTTGCTCTAGACTCCAAACTGAGCGAGAGAAGCTCTTGAGTGAGCGTGTTGACATGCAACGCATATGCGTTGTCTACTACGAAATGGCCAATGGATTAAATCTAGAAATGCATCGGCAGATGGAAATCTCAAAACGTCTTAACGCAATCCTTAATCAAGTCATTCCTTTTCTTGCTGCCGAGGTTTGCCAGTTTGTGGATTTCTCTTAATATTTTACCAGCACCAATCGCAGGTAGCATCAGCTATCGAACGCGCAAAGCAGGTTACAATGCAGGAGTTAAATTCAGTACTTACGGTTTGAGCGTCTTTTCTTCCTTCATTTCGTTTCACAATAGGCCCAAATGGAGGACTCGAAGTTGGCTAAGTTTGCGAATGGTGGAAATATGGGGCTGTCAAATGATCAGCTGGAAATTTACAAAGTAATTTTCAACTCAGTGTCTCTACCTTTTATCCTCTATTTTTAAAGCAAATTCAGGCCCACCAGATGTCGTCAGCAGGCAGTCCTTCATCATCTCTTCCCGGAAGCTCATCCGCTAATCAGACCGGTCCTCATGGGTCGAACGTTGGCAGTGCCCCCGCTACTGGCGCAGCGTTCCCTGGATCTACACCTGGTCTTCTTCCGTCCAGTGCACCTGGCCTGCAAAACGCCTTCATTAATGGATTAATGTCTGCTGCTGGCGGTGCCATGATGCCTCCCCCTGGCACTGCTGGTCTTCCTCTTAGTAGCGGTGCTGTTCGTGACATTAAGGACTATTCAAGCGAAGACAAACAGGTTCGTGCCTGATCATTGGCTTTTTGTTACGTAACGGTTTGTTCATGCTGCTCTTGTGTTGCTTTTAGCGAGTGGCAGCCGCGGCAGCGGCAGCAGCTTCGCAGCTCTTTCGTGGTGGAGCCGTCGGCCAACCCAACCTTCCTGGCTCGCCGTTTTTGCCTGGTGGACCGGCCGCGATGGCAGCTGCGGCTTCCTTTCCTGAGGGGTTTTTCGGTGCTGCTGCTGCAGCAGCAGGTGGAGTTGCCACAACGTCTCCAGGTGTTGCAAATCTCAACGCTCCTGGTAGAACCTCCTCTGCCGGTGGCGGAGTTAGAAGTAATAGCGGACACTCCGGAATTAGTGGAGTCGCTGGTCCTGTTTCGTCCTCTGCCTCTTCTCTTCTCCCCCCACCGCCTCCTCCCACTCCAGGCAATTCTTCCACAGCTCCCACCCCTCCAGATGAAAAGAGGCGCAAGATGGTGGATCCAAAGCTGGTTAGCTTTTGTCTGTCTGGTTTTTACTAAGATAAGTGGAACAAATCAACTAGTTCTTTATTATTCGTCAACAGTTCATGGAGTCATCGATGGAACTGCTTGCAGGGAAACGCATATTTTTCACTTTTGTCAAACGATGCCACTTCGATGCTTTAAACGGGACGGTTTTGCAGCTTTAGTGGACACAAAAAGCACGTTATCAATTATACTTTAAGAATATGCAGTTTTGATAGCTAGGTTGTTTACGCATTCAATCGTATCCGCTTCTCTCCGTTTGCTCATTTTTCTTTGATTGCTTGAGATAAACAGAACGGCGGAAAGTCAAAAAAGTGCCTAGAGAAAGGGAAGGAGCGAGTGTGTGCGCTTCTGAGCGAGTGGGTGAGCAAGCGAGAAAGTCAAATCTGCGAACTTTCTCGTTGTTTTTGGCTCGCCGACGTTCTCTCATATTTTTTTCCGTACTTTTTAATTGCAAACACACGAACAGAGGGAATGGATTGAGAAGGGGAGGAACGGGATTCTTCCTCTACAAGTCGTAGAACAGGGTGGTTCTGCATTCTTTTGCTTTGCTATCTCATGGCTTTGGATTTTTTTCCAGTCAGCGTGCCTACTTTAAATTCGTTTTGAATCTTCGTGATTTTTCAGGAATGTCCAAGCCGAGAAAATGGAGGGTGTCGCAGTGCTGATGATATGGTTAGTTGGTTCTTGTTCTTATTCCTGTTTGCTCTGTCAACAGTCCTACTGGGCCATTCCATTTTTCATTTTGTAGGACAAATCTTCTACCTCAAGTGCTATGTCTATGAACGCAAGTCGCTCTGGTCGACAGCCGCTTAGTACGTTTTATTCGGAAGTTTTTGGACTGTGAACTTTGCATTTCACATGCATCTTTATGTCACATCGCCTAAGAAATTCCTGATTTTAATGATAGATGCGTCAGATTCTATAATGCGATGGTACTTTGGTTGAATCAATTCCTTTTAGCATTGTATTGATTGGTTCCTTCACGTTGCAGGTTTAGTGACTTGATTAACAGTGGGAGATGTGTTTTATGTGAAATTTTGCCGTTTTCGGCTGAATCATTCATTCAGCTGTCTTGAAACCGTGTGAACCTTGCACACAAACACCGATTGCTGTCCGCGAAAGGGTATGAGGGGAGGGGGAGGAGTTACTTGAAATCTTCTTGTTGTGGCTCCCATTGTCTTACTAGCGCATTTGGCTACTGCTGTTGCTTTCAATATAGGTTGCGCTTTCTATACTTCTTTATTGAAGATCTTAGCCCTCAGCTGCCTAGTTCCATGGGGAGCAACTATCCGACGACAAACAGCGCTCCTGCGGTTGGTACCCCGCACAATCGGTCGACTTTTGTGAGTGGCTTTTGCATCCTACATTTTTGCATTCTTGGGAAGGTTTGGCCTTTTATGCTTACATCATCGACTGTTTTGAACATTGGTCAACGAACTTAGTTGCGTAAAGTTGTGCATCGGCGCTATTTTTATACATAGTATTCTCACCACTTAATATCTATTTCTTTTAGTCCGAAAACCGGTCAAAGTATGGTGTCAAAGGGTGAGTATTTTCCTGCGTGGGTTTTTATGTCCCCGCATAGTTGCCGCAAATAAAAG